CATCCAAGCTCCAGCTGTGCTGCTTCCTAGCCAGTTTGCTTGACAGTGCTCTGATTCAGCATCTCATGCTTTCCCATTTGTCTAGGGATTTAGGGAATTCTTTGTGCTATCAAAATAATATGAAAATGCAGTGTCTGGTAGGTAGCATCTGTTTCAGTCAGTTCCAGCTATTTATGGAGAAGCAATGGACTTTCTTCAATGCTCTTTTATATTTAGATTGATTAAACCAAGTGTCTAAAAGAAGAAAACACTCATTTATTCTTTGGTAAAACAATAAGCATTCAATAAGCAATCATTGTGACAACTGGCATTTGAAATCTGCCAAAGACAATAAACTCTTCTCTGAGAAGACTCATTCTTTCTCTACATGAATCAACTGGATTAACATATGAAATTCCCTGAGCTGTATACGTATAGTGACAAAGCTAATATTCATTCCACTAATTAAAGATACTCAGAATTTGTCAGAAACCTATTAACTACTCAAGAGCCAGTGGTGATCAACTGTGATTTGCGGTGTCTGATATTTTGAGGGCGATTTCATATGCCGTTTCTTCCTGTCCATGTTTTATGTGCATACATTTCTTTTCTGCTCAACAGCACCCGAGACAACATATACTATTAAAAATGACAACTAAATGACAACAGTGGTCATACTAATGCATGTGGGATGGGGAATGATTATTATACAACAATAACATCAGCAGTGAGCTAAACATAGAGTAAATTCAGCAGCAATTTATGCAGCCATAAGCACTAAGAGCAGCAAAGGAGGCATTCTAACTACAAGTATGATACTGTCTGCAATGTAGTATCTCCAACAGTCAGTCAAAGCCCTTTACTATAAGAATTTATTGTATTGGCATGTGGACAGAATGCTGTCAGAGAAGAGGCCAGATAGGTTTCCTTTGAAGATTTAAAAATGACAATTCATACATTTACAGTGACCAAAATGGTTATTTGCTCAAAATGGGAATACCATATTTTTCGCCCTATAGGACGCACTTTTTCCCCTCCAAAAATGAAGGGGAAATGTGTGTGCGTCCTATGGGGCGAATGCAGGCTTTCGCTGAAGCCTGGAGAGCGAGAGGGGTCGGTGCGCACCGACCCCTCTCACTCTCCAGGCTTCAGGAAGCTATCCCCCCAGCCCGGCAAGCTCCCAGAGCGATGCCTAAGCTGCGTGCAGCTTTGGCATCGCTCTGGCTCCCGTTCTGGGGGCTGGGGTCGGGGGAAGCTCGGGCTTCCCCGCCCCAGCCCCGCGCCTGGGGAAAAAAAATAATTCCCCCCCTTTATCCCCCCCCAAATCTAGGTGCGTCCTATGGGCCGGTGCATCCTATCGGGCGAAAAATACAGTATTTCATGCCACTGTCTATTGGTTGCTGGTTAAAGGCTGGGAAGTAGCATATGGTGAAACTAACTTTGTTAGAAATAGGCAAACAAGGCAAACAAAGAAAAAATAAACCCATGCTCAGGAGCACCAAGTGGCCACTCAGCTTTATGTGGCTTCCTGTGACAGAGTTGATCTGACTCCAGTACAGAATGATACAGCTTGAGGAACTATAATTCAAATAGTGTCCCAAGTGTTTGTTCCTTGGTATAAGGCAAGTAGCGGGGGAGAGGGATCATGTGCCTCCTCCATGCCATTTCTTGGTATTCTCACTAGGATTTTCTATTGCTCAGACCAGTTGAGCATAAAGGTGCTTAGATGTGTCTAACTCTCTTCTCTCACTCCTTAATTCCTTCCTATTCCTTTAATCAAGTTTCTTTGATGTTCAGTCCATCTTCTCTCAGCTCTAATTAACAACAAAGAATATTATTATGAGCCAGCCTTGCAAGTACAAGGCATAACATACAGTGGTACCTCGGGTTACATATGCTTCAGCTTACCGACTCCGCTAACCCATAAATAGTACCTTGGGTTAAGAACTTTGCTTCAGGATGAGAACAGAAATTGTGCTCTGGCGACGCGGCAGCAGGCAGAGGCCCCATTAGCTAAAGTGGTGCTTCAAGTTAAGAACAGTTTCAGGTTAAGAACGGACCTCCGGAACGAATTAAGTACTTAACCTGAGTACCACTGTATACATGTGTAGATAAGAGAAAACGTGGAAAAAGAATAACCAATGTGCTTTAGTGCTATTGTATCATGAGTAAGATATTCTCTGACTTTCCATAAGATTTGAAACTTCAAATTATATTTGAAGTTCTAGCCAGTGTGCCTATCAAAAGTGATAACAACAAATGGATTAAAGCTGGGTCTGTTGACTACAGCTGTATTTGTGTTCTGGGGTTTCTTTATGTTATCATTCCAAACTTTTAAGAGGATATATCTTTTATGTCAGGCATGTTGTCACTTGTCATCTTTTACAGCGGAGTTGCATTTCTATATAGATTTCTAGGGGTGGAGAGAAGAGGTGCTTAGTAAACATCCATTTAATGAGCATGTTACTGTTGCCAAATTAAACTCTGTCTTGGTATTTTTGGTTTTAGATATGCTGGGTTGGGTTTTAGCTTACATCTACCACATTCAACAAATAGAAGTTAATAAGAACTTTTTATATCCTATCCAACTGTAATCATGCTGCTAGGGTGGTTTTTAATCATTTAATAACATTTAATAATACTAAAGTAATAAAGAACCATACCACAAATAATAATGGTATCAAACCTAAATGTTTGAGGACTGATCTATTTTCTCACCCATGGGATGCCCTCGTGTTGCACCCTGTAATAATGTAGCATCTTTTGAGTGGAAAGTTCATAACAAGAAATCACCATTTTCCTACTGCAGTTAAGTACAGTACACAAATCTCTAGGTTATCAGATGTGCTGCCATCTACAAGATTTTATATATAATCTCATTTGATGCTTTTAAAATATTGCTTGGGTTTCCATTCACTGCCAAATACATGCACCCATATAGAACTACACAGTCTTCTATTCATATGGCACATAATTGTGATAGAATCCGTTGGTGTGAGATCAGTTGCTATTGCTGTAAGAGTAGCCTTAGTAAATTTGGGTTGGCATGCTTTCTGATTCTTGCCCGCATACTGTACAATATAGAGTTAGAGTTATTACAGTTAGCATTTTTACAGCTGCTGTCCTTGGTACCTCAATCTGAGGAGCTGGCATTGTTAGGCACTGAGTGACGCAAGGCATGCTTTTTGAAAAATTCAGACAATTATAAATCTATTGTAGTATTGTAGCCCCTGGTCTGCTGGGATGCCAACTGGCAATGGAAGCATCCTGATCAAATAACAGGGCATCTTGCTAAAGGGAGGTCATGGAAACAAAAGTTTAAACTAATTTGTTGCATAGGTAGTATTTGATTTCCAGTTTCATTAGGAATAGCCACTAGGATATTGAAGATACATGACTGAGTATTGTTCCTAACATTCAGTAGCTTATGTGGATGAATTTTGACTTATGGCTTATATACGAGAAAACAGACTCAACAGTGGTGATGACTGCCTTCCGGAATGCCCCCCCCCCCAATTATCTGAGAGCTGCTGACTGTTGAGTGCTTCCCTTGTTTTTCATCTAGGCTTTCCTGTACTGTACCTTTCTGCTGTGTTATCTATGATGTTGGTTTCTGTTTTAAATTGTTTTGGTATTTATTTTACCTTTACTAGTTTGAGTTCATTTAATGTAAGCTGTTTTAGAGATATTATTAAATAAATGAACTTCAAATAATCTACAACCAACGTTTTAGTCTGGTATGTAAATCCAGTCACAAACCTTGGCAATTTGCAGACATGGATTTAACAAACTTAAAAACCAGTTGTTCATTAGCTTGCTATAACAGTAAAATCCTCTTTGCACTGTGTTTCACCCTGTACAATTCAAAACCAGATGCGTACTGGAATCTTTATGGACAACCAGTAAGCATGCTAGTAAGGCAAAATGCTGAATTCTGGAAAAGTGAATATTTACTCTTTAAATTTCAATAAATAACTGACAAAATGATAAAACTCTGTGGGTGGCAGTAATTTATTCCTATGCAATATTGAACTGAAGGGTGAATTACATAGAACTGTAGACTCAGATTAAATGATTCTCCCACAGCCTACTGTTTCAAGCACTGATTTTGTTTTGGGCAGATGTACTTATGAGTGCAATTTAAGTTATTAGAATAAAAATGTATGTGCTGCCTTTCTACCAAGAATGAAAGTTTAAAATTAGTATTGAATTATATTATTATTATTTTTAATTCCTCCCCTCTAATTTCATACTGGAAGCCACATATTAAAAGCAAGTCTAGGATGTGCAAATTGTTGAGCCATTTCTCAGTTCTTTTATATCTCTTTATTTCGGCAGGCATTTGGGAATGCAAAGACAGCACACAATAACAACTCAAGTCGCTTTGGCAAGTTTATCCAAGTGAATTATCAGGAGACTGGCACTGTCCGAGGGTAAGTAGCAATGAGCAGTGACTTAAGGAACTTTAAGCATGAATGGGTTGCAGCTGTTGGTATTTGTGGATGCCTGATGGGAATGTTAAACATCCCATGTAAATCTGATCCCAGTTACTTGTCTGTGCCATATAGGACAAATAATTGACTTGACACAGGTATATTCTGTTAAGGAAGCTTTAACTTCCCACATTCTTTTAACTATAACACTGTTACTGTATAATCACAAGGGAGTTACAAATGCTAAATCTCTAAAACTTGAATTCGCTTTATTTACTGATATAAGAAATTGCCGAACAAAGTCCGTTGTCCACTTAGGAATCGGCACAAATCTTTGTCTGAACTTCAGAGGGATTTGGCTCAGGCTTGGAGTGCATATATCGTCCACAACTGGTGCAAATATTTTGCTAAGTCAGCTTGAATTTTATGAAAGCAAAAGGAGCACCAATTTAAGAGATTTGCACTTAAACCAGAGACCAAATTGCTCTGGATTGTTTCCATTCTTGCTTTTAATAAACAATTTGAATCCAGTCTATTAATGTGAGAATTGAAAGTCTGTTCTAAGCTACAGCTGTTGTACTTTATATTTTAATGTCTTATGTCCTTGTTTGCCTGACTTGGAGCTCTATCAATCTGTAAAGTCTGAGAATTGTTGAAGCTAGAGAAGGCTTCCGTAGCAGCCCGACGCATCCTATTATTTTGGGACTGTAGATTTTCAGTTTCTGAATGGCTTTGTCCAGTCTGATGTATGTGCTGCAGTTGAGCTATTTGGAATCTTTTAGTTCCGTTTAATTAAGCTCTGCTTTCTTGACTAAGGCTATAAAAGGAAGGGCAGAGTTTCCTCTTGTCTCAGTTCTTCCTTGTTTCAAGTGTGGTGTTGCTTTCCTAGTCAGTGATTGCCCAGTAAAGAGTCATGCTATCAGCTTTTATAATGTATGCTAGTCTGTGATATTTTTCTTATTTGACTGAGTAGGAAGGAATTTTAAAAGGGGCAAGATGTAAATATCCTATTTTGATGGATACACACTGTGTTAGGGAGAGTCAACTGTTCTGCTATCACATCAAGCACTATGAAATGTGTATAGTTAGGACCCCCAGCTTGTATTTGTTGAGATGTGAAGATGACTCTGTAGATGCTTATCTTCAGTACCATGAGAAGTTGTAATGCCGTAATTTTGACTCTTAAGGAAGTTATGAGTACCAGACCTTTTTCTTTGGTTCACAATATATTTATTGAGTTTTGCTCAATAAATAATATATTTATTGAGTTGACAAAGAAAAGCTTTTCACTGGGCTTGGGGTTTATTTAGTGTTTTTTTGAAGGGTGCTTGTATTCAAGAAACTTGTGCTTCTACCAATCCTTCTGCAAAGCACATATTTGACTCCCTCATGTTTGTTAGTCATACTAAGCAATCATGAGTATTACTTTACATATTTCCCGTTGGGTAATAAAACTACTGTTCATGAGCAACTGTTGTCAAGCAAAGAAAAGGGAAATGAATCCAAATTTTGTCATCATCCATTAAGTAACAGCACACATGTGAGTGATCAACATGTTAATTCTAGTGAGTGCCAACAATCAAGTTAAGTCAGGATCTAGCTTAGTTTTGAAAGTTCCCTTACTTTTCTCATCTCGTTTTTCACTATGAATTTCAAAAGAATAGGCTTATCACAATTTAGGCCTTGTTTTCCAACATCTTCTGAATATATCAAAATGCCTGCTTCACAAAAATTGGATTACCTTATACAATTAAGATATTATCTCCAGTGTTAATGCAGTAACATTGATATATAGACACAGAAATATTACTGCAGAGGCTGCAAAGGTGTTTTTGTGTGTGTGTACAGGTTTAATCTAATACACCATCTCTCTGGTGAGAAGGTTGATTTTTGTTTTAATGGTCTGAGCAGAACAGAGATGGAACAGTGGAAATTAGCAGTATAATATGAGCTTGTAGAAGACTCTATCTGGAAATATTCTTTCCAGTTATGTGATTGTGATAAGGGAGGTGAGATAGTGTTCTGCAACAATCTAGGTTGGAGACTAGTTTCTTTACTTTGTTATTTCTGAAAGATATATTTAAAAAGACCAAGTATTTTATCACTTGGTCCCACAAATGATCTTCAGAGCACGCATTCCTGCAACCATTTGCCCTCGTTTCTTCAACATAACACAAAAAAGAGCTTTGCTTCTTGCAAATTGCTTCTGCTATCATGGTAGAAAGGAGTGCTATATTCCAGTGATCACTGCAGGCCAGTACTGTGAGGTTTTATCTGTTGCTACATGCGTAGTTGACAATATAGTAGCATTCCTTTTCTAAAAATTGATTGTTATGTAGCCATGATGGTACCATCCATGCAGAAGAGGGTGGTATTATCAGTTTTGAAGAAATCCTAAGGTTTACAGAAGTACAGAAAAATGGAGATAAAAACTAAAGGGAAGGGCAAAAACAGCCCAGTTGAGGACTGAGCATGCTGAATTTTGTGTGTGAGAGGTGTTATTATAGGTGGGAGGGGTAATGGGTAACATTGGGAAATAGCGTAACTGACTGGGATTTGAACAGGAGCATTTCATACTGTGTTTTTGGAATGCATTCTCCAGTCTATGGGTCTGTTCAGCAGAGTTCATGGAGATTCCGTATTATAGATACAAAACCTTTCCATTGTACTTGATGTTTCCCCCTCATGGTGTGGGGAGCAGGAAAAGGAGCAGGAGGAAAGGCCTCACCCACAGTAGAATCCTGTAATAGAAGTCATGCTGAAAATCATGCTCAAGTTTATACTGTATTTCATTTTCCACATCCTCACCAGCTCATCTCCCTGCCCTTTGCACAAAGATTCAATTTAGGCTTTGAATACCATTATTTCAAAGAAAAGTGAAAAGATTTTGGGCTACCATAGTTCAGGAAAAAAAGTTAAGTAAGGGAAGGACATACGAAATGTAGATAAATTTGAATGGTTTGGAAAAAATGGAGACAGTTTCCTGCCACATACATTCAACACAACATGCAAATAAATTTATGAAATCTGTTAATGCAGGATATTCTCGCTCTTTGTTTTATTACCTTACTCTAGTGCTTGTAAGTTCTTTTTCTGAAGAAGGAATGTGGAGCTGCAGCTTAACTGCTCCAGAAAGTTCATAGACATTCAGCTAGGAAGGTTTGGTTAGAATGAAAAAAGAAAAATTTAGAATCCATTTTTCTAGAGGTTTTAGTGTGTGGTGATATCTAAATGTACCTATGACATTTTTCTTCCATGTTCAGGCTTTTCTAGCAAATAGTAATATTCAGATGATTATATCCTCATCAGTCTATGCAATGACCAGACCCGTTACATTTTAAAAAGAGAAAGGTATAAAAATCAAACTATTCTCAGGCTTAACTAATATTCTTGTTTCCTCTAGAGCTTATGTTGAAAAATATCTACTTGAAAAGTCAAGGCTTGTCTATCAGGAACATAATGAGAGGTGAGTAATGAATTTAAAGTACTGCTGGGAAGGGGGCGGGGATAAAGAAAGGTAAACCAAAATAATGATTAAAATAAAGTACAATTATAATGATTTCTAAGTTTTATATGCATTTATTTTGTGTTTTGATATATATGATGTTAGATTAATCTGTCATGATTAATACTGACAGCAGTTCATGCCCTGGGTTTGAGAATTTGCTCATACAACACTATTCCTGTCTTGAAACTCAGGCTTAGAGGAAGGAAAAGGACAAGAGCAGCTATGAACTCATACATTGGTGCAATCCCATTAAGCCATACTTTGGATTGCTATGCCATGCAAACCAAGCAGTAAATTACCAATGGTTAGTTTTTCATCAGCTGAGCTTCCAGTTGTAGACTTCTAGAGAGGAGATAGTGGTCTCTTTGGTTCTCAGTGCATTTTGCTGCTATGCTGAACTAAGACATGGTTGAACCTAGGCTTGTGATTTAGCACGCTCTAGACAAAGCATGAGCTGTAAGAAAGATTTGCCCTATGTTTTATAACTCATGGTTTATTTGGGGATAGCTAGATGAAATGTGAAGCCAAACCATGTTCTTGCTTATCCATCATTTGATTTAGCAGTACATGCAAACTGGATGTCTGTGTATTTGATTTGTCAAAAATAAATAGATAAAATACTAGTATTATTCATACTTCCAATGATTCTTGCTAACATTTTTGTATTGATGGTGATGGGACTTTTAACACCGTTTTTATTTGTTGCCAGGAACTACCATGTATTTTATTACCTTCTGGCAGGAGCAAGTGAAGAAGAGAAATCAGCATTTCATCTTAAACAGCCTGATGAATATCATTATCTTAATCAGGTGGGAATACACCAAGCAGTTTTTAACTGAATGTATATATTTGTCCCTAGAGCAATGAACCACTGTTCAGGTGCTGATGTTTTAAAACTAATTTTATTGTTACCTGTGAATGGATGTCCTAGCACAATAAATTTGTAGGTTTGGGGAATGCAACGAAGTAAGAAACAATGTTTTCAAAGCACTTTTTTCTTGCCTTAAGTGGCCTATAGAAAATATAATGTGTTTTTTGGATTGCAGTTTTCCTAAAGAACATGAATGATTCTCTAATTAATAAACAACTAATAACATTCATCTGGAAAACCATATTATGATATTTCTACTGAAGAAGAGACAAATCCATTTACAAATGTTGCATGATTTTTGCCCTCCTTCCTGATAGCATGATCTGTTTGTACTTTAACAAATAAGGCTAACCCAAGTCCATTAATTCCAACTATGGTTAAAGAATTGAAATTATTGGGGGAGGGGTACTACATCTCATACTAATACGCCATAGCACTTATATAATTTGTTTCCTTCAGGATGCAAGGGTAGCTGATGCAATAGAACAGAGATGGCAGAAGGGAAGAATAGTTATGGTGATGGCAGGACACTCTCTGCCAGAATTTCCCAATACTTCCAGCTTGAGATCATGTGGGATCATTGCAAAAGGTTTCTCTTCAAGGGTTTAGCTATTTAAAAGGGGAAAAAATTATTATTCTGACTGAGGAGCGAGGACATATCCCTCTTTATATAGCAGAAGCTGGATTATTACTTCATTTTTTATGTATAGCTAGTTCTAAAACATCAAGCAACATTTCACACAAGCTTGCTGTAGATTTCTTTTAGGATTTGGTTAATCATTAAAATAATATATCTGTTACTGTGGTTAACATATAATTTTTATTTATGTGGCAAAATGTTCCAGGTTCTGCCTTCATAAGCAGTTCTGATAAAAATGAAAATATAGTGTAGCAGTTCTAGCGCTTTGAAGACTGAATGTTCAGAAGGGCTTCCTTTCCTGAAGCTAAGTAATGTAGGTACTATCTTCCAGGTTGAGGAAATGTCTCGTTAATATGCCCAGTGTGTAACATCCTATAATGATAACAAGGAGGGAGAACCTCTGGATGTACACACTGAACACATTAACATTGCATGACCTCAGTCTGGAGGATAGTACTAACAACACTTGAGCAAATGAAGCCCTTTTGAACATTCCATCCTCAAAAAGCTAGAACTGCCACCTTGGAAATAGCATATTTTCATCAAAACAGCTGATAAAAATGGAAGCCAAAATATTTTGCTACACAAGTAAAATCTGTTTTGTTAATCACAGTAGTGTGTGTGTGTGTGTGTGTGTGTGTGTGGTGTAGTGTATTGGGGGTTACTATGGTATGTTTGCAAAAACCCTTAAATATTACAGATGCTTCTTGATAAAAGAACTGAGTCTGAGCAATCATGATAGATTTATGTGGAAGAAAAATCTTCCAGCTCACATGCTTGTTGTAGGAAATAAATGCAATGTATACGACGTAGCACTCTTAGTGTTGTAAAAATTCTAAAGCATCTTAAATTGTACTCCTTTCTCCTTCTAAATTGTCACTTTGTGACAATATTCCCAGTTGCAATATGACTCAATTGTTAGATCCAAACTCAATGAGCATAGCTGCAGTGTTTGGCAGCCAATAGAAGTGGCTAAGTTTAATTGTAAGGTTAGATAGGCTTCTTTTGTAACATGAAAACGTAGCATGATGTATGTGCATTCTCATATCAGATTTCATAAGGTAAGGAGAAATGGAGAAGGCGGATCCTAGCCATCATTTTCTAAAATGGGAATGCTTGTAGCTTAATGGTTTTAAATAAATGCTTAACTTCCTGTCTGTAAAAGTGGGAAGAGATAGTGGCATGGGATTTGGAATGCTACTTACCCAATCTGCCTTACTTTCAGATGACAAAGAAACCCCCAAACAGAGCTGGGATGACTGTTACTATGAGTCTGAGCCGGTCAGTACAAGTACATCCATCCATTCTGGGTTACTGGTGACAGACATTTCACTCACTCTGGCTTTGCACCAAATTGTAGGGCAAATACAAAACCATTTCCATTTGATTACTGGCAACACAATTTCTGTGTCCTCATTGGTTTGGTAGATTATTTGTGGTGGTATACTAATTTTTTATGTGTATAATTTTTGTATAGGGTTATTTTGATAGGTTTTGTTAAGTAGTTGGATGATGTTATTATGTATATGAGACACTGCAAAAAAGCATAATATATAGATGATAAAATTATATTCTACGAGCAAGAGAGAGAGAAGAGAGAGTATGCAATGAAGCTTTTGCCTGGATTAAACTATTCAGGATAATTTTTGATATAGCATATTCTGGGTTTTTTAAAGCATAAATATAGTGAATATTAATTCATTAAACTAGTGTAATCTTTTCTGTTTTCATGGTCTACACCAGATTATTCTGTGGGCAATTACAGATTTTTTTTATCAAGCAATTTAGTTAAAGGTTCAGTCATCTGAAACGAAGAGGTTTACTGCCATGTTTGTTTACAATGGCCAAAAAAGTGAAAGGGTCTTCCCACTCTTGTGTGAACTCAGATTATTGTATTTAAATTGCGGGTTTTGTCTGTCTTGATATCACTCCATGTTAATCTTACCTCAGAGAGCATGGCTGTTCTAATTGCATGGTTAACAATTCTAACTTGGATTTACAATTTCCCCCTTAATATCATTCAGGCAAATTTATTCTTGAGTGTTATGTTTGATTGTAAGAAGGTTCACAAACGAAATTTAGGCATTTTAAATTTACTTAATTTCTATTAGTTTTATTGGTTTATTCTTCCCCCTCAGAAAAAAAGCTGTAAGTACAAAGTGGTTCAATAATGTAGCAAAAATCTTGAATATTTATTTCATGTGAATGTTTATTTCCTGTCTCCGTTATTTATTTTTGATGATTTATGTACTGCTTAATTTACAGACATCTCTAAGCAGTGTAGATGACCAATGATTTAGATTTGTCTAGTCAACAGATTTATTGCAGAAAACATAGTTTGAATATTCTCCTATAGCTTGCCTGAAGCGATTATGAACACATTGGTAATAGCTTACTTAAGCAGAGTGATGTGGGATACTTGCCCATCTTGAGCAGCTGAACTTTACTTTTTGGTATGGCAGACTAGACTGAAATTTTCAGACTCTGATAAATTAAAGTGGCTACACTTCAGAGGTTAATACTGTGTTAGTAAATGCTGCTATTACTGCTAATCCACTCTCCAATATGTTGATGCTATTCTGCTAATATTTAATTTGCTGTTTCCACATGCCTACAAGCTGTCCCTAGATAGATTTCCACTTGCCCCCTTTTCCTATCTGTACCCTACTGTCCCAGCCATTCCTGGTTAGGACTCCCACTTCCTAATACACTTCTATATCCTCTCACATATTCAAAGAGCTTCCTTCTGGCACCCAGTGAACTGGGTCCTATTTTTCACCTGTTCCCTAAGCAATCAACTCTGACATGTGTTCTTGTCACATAGAGAGGGATCTCAATCACTTTTGAGCTGCTTGCTGCTCTCTTGTAGACCTAGTGGGGGTCTGCAGAATTGCTGAGACCATAAAAACAATAACATATGCCATATTTGGAAAATAATATTGAGGGATTAAATTCTATATTTGGGAATAATAATTGTTCAAAGAGGGAGTGAAAATGAACTCTTGTTCTGGAAGCAGAACAAAATGTTTGGGAATTTGTGAACAGATGGAAGATTTTTCCTGCAGATTTGTCAAGTAATTTTATAGAACTCAAAAATCAATTTATTCATCTTTACACAAATATAATCCATGAGTGCAGACAGCAGGCAGTTTTGGCTTTCTATTTTAAAATGTAGATCATGCTCTCTGTAGAGTGGAACTTGATTATTTTGCAGTAATGGAGGGCCTAGGCTACATTTACTGTCCAAAGAACGAGGTCATTTTTTAATTCAGGAGAAGGTGCCTTTGGTAGTGGGGAGTGATGCAGGCAGCTTTTTCTCCACTGTCTTTTGCATAGTGTTTTCATGGGTGGGTCCTTCCTTTCCTTCTTGATGCCCATCTCTTCTAATAATTGCTCCTCATATTTGGCCTCAATAGGATTGCTTCTCTGTTGAAGGGGAAGATCTGAAGCATGACTTTGAGCGTTTGCAGCTAGCTATGGAGATGGTGGGCTTCCTTCCCAAGACTCGCAAGCAGTAAGTTGATGTTCCTTATAACAGTGCATTATTAAATCGTGGACTGGTGTTGTGAATGCTGCAGCATGTGTATTTGATTGATGCTCAGCCAACACTTTCTGAAGTTTTTACATGATTGAATGAGTTGCAGTCATAATACTGTGCATCTGTCAGGGCTTTTAGGAGCAGAAAGCCATTGAAGTCAGCCAGTGCCATTACTGTTTTAAAAATGTTAGTGTGGATAAGCTCCAACAGAACTCTGTATGAATTACTATTGCTTTGGTTATAAACAACTTTATTTTTGTAGCCTGCTTGGGATCTCTGGGCTTGAGTAGGCTAAAAATCCCAAACACAGACCCCAATACATATTATATAGCTATACTTAGATTGCTTGATAATTAGTTAATTGTACATGTCACTAAATCAGTAGGTTGCTAAATGACCACCGAAACATTCAGAACTGATTTGCTTAATAATTGTTTTCGTATCATTTGTCCCTTTATTTTTTAAATATTTATGCCTCATAGCCAGACACTGGAGAGGCCTGTCAGGAGTAAACATGGACCAATGGTATCGAATTGTATGGGAATTGGCTTTACTAGAAAAGCCAACCAATAAACTGAAACTGACACGGGGACAAATAGAAGAGGACACCTTCACTCCAGTATGGCTCCCCTTTATCACATACACAGCCCAACAAGACAACAACAAGAATCCACCACAGCATACAAATCAATCTGGCTTACCTGACCCAACAAGCCTTCCCCCCTCACAAATGCAAACAAGCCCCACTGCAGCCAACCACAGACAATCAACCACAGCCTGACCCCCAATACCTCTCACTACCAAGGAAATGTAATAAACAAATAGAAAGAGAACATACCTAGTTGACACTGACACAAAACCCCTCACGTACACTATACAAAATAATATAAGTTTCACCCCCCCCACTCTTCTTCCCCAACCTTATACTGTACTCAACTTTAATGTCTCACAACAAATGCAACTTATTCTTAAGAAAGACTGTACAGTGGTACCTCTGGTTACAAACCTAATTTGTTCGGGGGTCTGTTCTTAAGCCGAAACCGTTCTTAACCTGAGGTGTGCTTTCGCTAATGGGGCCTCCTGCTGCCGCCATGCCACTGGCACGCAATTTCTTTTCTCATCCTGGGGCAAAGTTCTTAACCCGAGGTACTACTTCCGGGTTAGCGGAGTCTGTAACCCAAAGTGTTTGTAACCTGAGGTACCACTGTATAACCTGAAAAAAGAGACCAGACCTGTACTTTTGTAAATCAAGAATATCTTATACAGTGGTACCTTGGGTTACAGACGCTTCAGGTTACAGACTCTGCTAACTCAGAAATAGTACCTCGGGTTAAGAACTTTGCTTCAGGATGAGGACAGAAATCCAGCGGCAGCGGGAGGCCCCATTAGCTAAAGTGGTACCTCAGGTTAAGAGCATTTTCAGGTTAAGAATGGACCTCCAGAACAGATTAAGTTCTTAACCCAGGTACCACTGCATATCAGCTTGTCCATTTATAAGTAATCTTAATATAATATCTAACAGATCCTAGTAAAACAGGAAAAGCTGTGGCATTGTATTATTAGGTGTAGTACTGAATATATTTGCCTAACAGCGATAAATGCAACACCTTATATCTGACAATATGCCAGAATATTGAAATACTGTTTAATAAAGTCTGGCATACAAAGTCACAGAGCCCAATATGTAGTGAAATGTTGGTAACATTTCATTTTGTGAAGAAAAAGAAAGAGAAAATGTGTTGTTTTATGCCCATAGGATTTTTTCCATTTTGTCTGCAATACTGCACTTGGGTAATATCTGTTACAAGAAGAAAACCTACCGAGATGATTCCATAGATATCTGTAATCCCGAAGTCCTTCCTATTGTCTCAGAGCTGCTAGAGGTAAGCCATGAAACTTTGACATGATTGACCCAGTTCTTCCCTTTCTTTCAACTTGGGTATTTTTGGAGGTGGGGCTGGGGAGAAACTCAGCCTCTTAAAAATATATTATTGATAGTGAAACTATTTGTTTTGGTAGTTTGGTTCATTGGTCTTCAACTGGTGGGTCAGGACCCACTGCCAGGTCGCAGCCTGATCTAAGGTGGGTTGCAATAGCAACACTATCATCAGCACCATCCAGCTATATGAAAAGAGAGTTCCATTGCCATGTTGCTACTGCCGCACTCTGATGACCTTGTCTCTAGTTACCAGCCTCTTATCTGAGGGGTGGGAACAAGGCAGGGTTCTGGAGTGGATTTGAGTTTCTAAGATGTATATTTTAAACCACACTTCATGGTGGGAGAAAGTAGGTGCTTATAACACAGTGTTTCCCAACCTTTTTTGGGCAAAGGCAACTTGTTCATGAAAAAAAATCTCGAGGCACACCACCATTAGAAATGGTTAAAAATTTTAACTCTGTGCCTATATTGACTATATAAAAAGTACAGTGGTGCCTCGCAAGAACGAAATTAATTCGTTCCGCAAGTCTCTTCGTCTTGCGAGTTTTTCGTCTTGCGATGCACGGTTTCCCATAGGAATGCATTGAAAATCAATTAATGCGTTCTTAGGGAAACCGCCTTCAGACTAGGTCCCGGGGACAGTCTGTCCCCCCGACCTCTTCTGAAGGCTGGGGGGGGGGACAAGGGCTTTTCTTCCCACTGCCAGCCTTCAGAAGGCTGTTCTGAAGGCTGGCGGTGGAAGAAAAGCCCTTCTTCCCCACCTCCCGCCCCGCAAGCTCCGGGGACAGGAGGGCTTTGCTGCCTGACCGCCAGCATTTTAAAAGCCCCTGCTGTCCCGGGGCGATTTTAAAATGCTGGCGGGCAGGAGCGAAGTCTCCGCTGCCCCGAGGAGATTTTAAAATGCTGGGGGTCGGCAGCGAACACTTCGCTTCCCGCCCGCCAGCATTTTAAGATCGCCCGGGCAGCGGAGAAGTCCTCCGCTGTCCCGGGAAGGCAGGCGGGGGGAGCAAAGACTTTTGCCCCCCGCCTGCCTTCAGGAAGAGGTCCAGGACCTCGTTCCGATGCCCGGCGGCGGGGTGCGAGGTTCCCGCCCCACCGCCCGGCATCGGGGCATCGTTCCGATGCCGGGCGGCGGGGGGAGAGGTTCCCGCCCCACCGCCTGGCATCGGGGCATCGTTCCGATGCCCGGCGGGCGGGGTGCGAGGTTCCCGCCCCCCCGCCCCCCGCCCCGCTTCGGAGCAGCCGTTCCAAAGCGGGGCGGCTGGGGCAGGTGTTCCCGCCCCCCCCCCCGCCCCGCTTCGGAGCAGCGTTCCGAAGCGGGGCGGCTGGGGCAGGTGTTCCCGCCCCCCCGCCCCGCTTCGGAGCACCGGGAGAAGCGATCTCCCCGCAGCCCCTTGCTTCAAAAGAGGTCCGGGGGCAGCGGGGAAGAAGCGCTGCGCTTCCCGCTGCCCCCGGGCCTCTTTTGAAGCAAGGGGCTGCGGGGAGATCGCTTCTCCCCGCAAACCCTTGCTTCAAAAGAGGTCCGGGGGCAGCGCGAAGCGCTTCCCGCTGTCCCCGGACCTCTTTTGAAGCAAGGGGCGGTGGGGAGAAGCGATCTCGGGCGCCGCGGCGCGCAGGCGCACTGCTCGCTCCTCTTTCCGCGCAGGCGCCTTCTCTCGCTCTTTCGCCTCCTTTTCTTTCTCTCTCGATGGTCCGCCTACAAAGGAGCGAGGGAGGCGCCCGCCATGTTTGGATTTGCATCCAGCAGGAGATGCCGCCGCCGCCCCGCCTCTCCCGCCTCCCTCCCACGGCACACCAGGCAAGGTCTCACGGCACACTTGTGTGCCGCGGAACACCAGTTGGGAAACACTGCTCTATTTGAAGGAATTCTCCGTTTGAATTGCTGTTGAATTTTAAGCTTATAGCTGTAGCCCATCAGCACTGATCATGTGTCCTGCTCATAGTCCTCCCCACTATGGTGAAATGCCTTGTATGTATGTATTTTTTCTAAATGTGCATCTACACATATAAATCAGCATATGGACATTTTATGCAAATCTATATAATCTTTTCTCCTTTTTGTGTCGATGTGTTTTGGCAGTGCTTAAGTGCCACCTTAGCCAAATCTATTTCCCACGAAACAGACAGTGAATTATAATTTGTATTTGAATGGCCCCAGGATGCTCACACAGCATTGATGCTCTGGCTTGCCATTAAGTGTGAACTGGCCCCTAGAGCTACCAGTCAATAAAAAATCCTGTATAATTTTTAATACAAGTTTAAAAGGTCTGAGAGTTTGGTTGCATATATGTGTGGAGATAGTTTTAAATTCCAGGGTGTTTGTCGCTGTTGTTCAGACCTTGTGATGTATTGTGAGAATTTTCTCATCAATCCTGCTGCAAGCATGGATAGCCACCAGAGCAGCGTGGAGCTCCGAAAGAAGCAGCATGTGAAATCCCAGAGCCTGGCATAAGCGTGGGCACAGAGTCGAGCAGCACCCAGTTGTAAAGGAAAAGACTGCAGCTTGACAGAAAGACTAAGTATACTAATTCAGCTGCTTCAAAGGCTGAGCTCAACTGAAAGAAAACATAAATTCTAATACTTCTTTGCAGGCAACAGAGGGGGAGGGAAAGACTGGACTGAAAAAGAAAAGTTTAGAAAGGTAAGTGAGTTTGCCCATTTTGCATGTCAAAAACAGCCATGGAATGATAAAGATTTAGATTTTTTTGGAAAAGTCTTCTCTTAGCAATTTCTCTAAAGTTAGAGCTCCAGCTCTGAACATGCCCAAATAAGAACAGTACGATTTTCTTAAGCATTTGAATTGTTTCTTCATTTCTGCTTAAGTATAGAGGACACAAACCAGCAATGTAAAGAACCCAACTGGATTTTATTTCTGGATGGTGAATTCTAGAAAGCCATTCAGGATCTCCGGATGACAGAGAGCATCTGGACCATTGACTTGGCCTATGTGATGCGCCATTTTGGGTCGTTCCACAGAGAACAGGAGCATGCTCAGTCTATTCATAGCTCATGGCTATTCTGCCTATGGGCCAGTAGGTGGCAACAAAGATGAAATATTCAGAACATTACAATTTTCTACTTCATGAATTTTTCTTCAGGAATTTCCATACTCTTTCGCTGGGTATGTGCTTTAGTATCAGGTATTATAATACAAAAATACCCCAAATATCACTGAGAATTTGGTGCTGCTAGCTGTTGTGTGAGAGACTTGTAGGGACATTAAACAGGTCTCTTCAACTACCTAATTGGAAAAGGACTTACAATATGACTTGTGTGCAGCAATTAGTAAAGCATATAGTAATGCATGCAATTATCACTTTCCGGATATGTTAATGGTCAAAAGCAACATTTGAACTTCCACAGCAAAGACGCTGCAGCTGCTCTTAAAAATCCCTTCAAAAGATACAACGGGGGTCACTTAATCAACACAACTTTGCTTCTGACAAATGGCTTCGTTATCCTTGAGAGTGGGGGAGTGAGAAACTGTGATTCCAAACCATAGCTACAAATCAGGGCATTGAATTAAAATCCCACCATCTCATTGCAGCAAATGATCAAATCCAGATCAGGGCTAGCAGGAGCTCCAGGGCTCAGACCAGAAACTCAGGATGGGGCTGATCCTGGGACCTGAGTTAGTAAACTACCAAAAATGGTGCGACCTCAGACCTTGGAGCTACTGGAGGCAGAAGGGTACAGGGGTGGGCAATACCAGTCCTTATGATTGTCAGTGCACATGAGCTCTCTTGATTTGCCAGGCCTGGTAAAGAAAAGGATCCCTTTATCTACTCAACAGAGCAGTGCCTTCTGCATTCTGTACTCCAGGTTTCAGATTCAGCCCTGACCTCAGTGATCCTGACTTAGAGGATGACAGAGGACTCAATTACGGTATCACCCAGGAAACAGTGATCCTTCCTGTTCCTAAACTCTAAGACCTTCTAGCAATGCTGCTGCACCAGAGGGAGAAGTAGTGTCTTTACAAGTCTGTTGGAGTAAGATGAAGTGGTTTGGGGAGACGGCTGGGGGTGGGTTCCACATTACTTGTGGGCTGTTGGTTCACAGCCCCCTGCTGTCAAAAGAGTTCTTTGTCCTCTCTGGACAGACTGGAACTGCAATTGTATTCTATTACCAAAATAGAAAGATAAATCAGGTCCAAAGATGCAGAAAACTACAGGAAGTAAGTGATGCAGAAATATCTGAATGCTTGGTAAAAAGTGATTGAACAAAAGATGACAAATCTAGATAAAAAGGCCACCATGAAAACACCCCTGAATTCACTTTAGCCTCTGATGTTTCAACACATTCAAGGGTGGAATCAGAAATTTGGTCTGTAATTCGATATACTCTCACTTTATTCAGTTGCTTTTTCTTCAGAGTAGCCATGCACAGGACTGCATACTGTAAAGGGAGCACAGTCAACAATCCCTGTCAAGAAATGTGGCTCTTATCCCGCCCCCTTCATCTCATCCTGGCACAGGTAGCCATGCAAAAGAAGAGCAGGATTGAGTAATCAGGTTCAGAGAGTAATTTGGTGTTATGAAAATGACCCAAGACAATCAATAAAAGTTCTGAAACTCCATGGAGCTCCTTGTTTGTGGAGACATGGACTGTTCCATCTCACTATGAAAACCTTGAGGTAACTGACACTGAATCCTGATAATGTGAGTTCCCTGTGCTCTTCACAAGTTTAAGTCCTCCTCAAATAGGAATTGTACATCCCGCTTTCGAGGGAACAGCATGGTACCAGTTTCTATAGATGGTTAATGGGAGCTGGGTGGCACTGATAAATAGCTGTTTTGGCACATAGCGTGCAAAAATACTTAAAGAAACTAATTCACTTGTCCCTGAAGAAGAGGAATCTGACTCAAAATGCATTAGACCTTAATAAACCGTTTCAAGTGCATCTCTTGACATTCCTCTTCTCTTCTTTCTGCTTTTGACTTCTCACTGAAGCTCTGCTTCCTCCCACTACATTTAGCTGCAGAACAACATTGTGTTA